GTGGAAAAGCGGAATTTTCTTATTGAAGTTTCAACGACTGTTGCTTTTTGCAAGAGACCTAGAGACTTCAAAACTTTCTCGATGTAAATTTTAGAGTATTTTCTGTGTGATACAAAGGAGTCACAAAACTAGCATTTCTGCGGTAAGTTTTATAAAGCGAGGATGCAGGTTTTTGTTTGCGCCGCCTGTTATTTATGATGCCTATTCGTGTAACTTACCAAGGCTATAAATATGGTGCGACAAATAAGCACTTTTTTTGCCTACCTGGTATAATGGGAAAAGAATGTTTAGAAGTGCTACATAGAGTGTTTAAACAAAAAGCCCCATTCTTTTTCTGTGGGGGAACGACCATAATTTTCCAAGAGACAATAAGTCATGTGAAGACTCCGACAGAGGAGATTTTATCAATTTGGAGAACCTCGAAATAGAATCGTTTATCCCCTTCTCTTGATTTCATATGAGAATCGTCATGAATGAAATTTGAGATGACATCAGTGACAATCCACCAGACTCCACCCCACCCCACCCCACCCCGCCCCGCCCCACCCCACCCCGCCCCACCTCGCATCTCGAGAAAACTATGGTCCTAAACGTACGGATAGTAATTGATGGCTTCTCTTACCACTGCGGAGGTTTCATGTGATCACGTGATCTCAAATTTAGAAACGGGGTATACATCCTTTATTTATAGGTATACATCCTTTCCAGAATTCGTTCATGTTATAGGTCATTCTAGCTCAATTCACCCAAAATTAAGAAAAAGTGGTGGCACAATCATCTCGGATTTTTTGCAGGTATTTTTCAATAATTGATATGTCATCATCAAGGCATGGACGAAAAAACCCATCAACCAAGTTTTCAGATTCCTATGGTTAGTCGCTTTCAAGATATACTTTTTTATTTGGGGACGGAGCCCCAGGGAGGGAAATTTTGGAGGGAAATAAACATGATATTGATTAGTCTTTATCTATTAGATTAATCTTCCTGTCCGGTTTTGACAGAACTTTTTTGATTAGAAAAAAAGTAGACTCGGATAAATTATGTCTTATAAAGAATTTCATGTTTATAGGCATTTTCAGGTACCTCTGATTTCCTGAATTTTCAAAATTTTAATAGCCTGTGTCTCCTGTCTGTATTCTCGAAGGATAATCAATTTCATGTCAGGCGTATTCAAGCATAAGCCTCTCCAGCAACAGCCTATGATCGGTCTATTCCTTCGTTGCAGATCTAAGGTAGAGGGCGCTGAAGTCGCGGAAATAAACAAAAATTCAGGTTCACTGTTAAAGTAGCAAATTGCAAAGTTAGAATGCATAAAATTTCCTTGTACGTGAGGTGATAAAAAGAAATTGTTCCAAGCCTGAGGCACTTTCAGTTGCAATAGACCTCTTGTCATGAGAAGACAGATGCATTTGATGGTGACTGGGAAAATGTAATCTTCCTTGTCGATTAAAGATAGCCTCGATTAAATTTTTCAATGTGCTCCCAAAGAGTCTGTTGAAGAGGTATTAAAATTGGGAGGAATGCTGTGATGAATTTTGCAACCTCTAAGCCTAGGAGTCGATCTCCCTGGAGATCTTTCATGGAAATATCAGAAATACTCTATCCTCTCAGCTGCTGAAAGATCTGCTTGGAGATCGACTCCTTAGAGGTTAGAAAATTCATCGCAGCATTCGCCTCAGTTTTAATAGCCCTTCAGCAGACCCTTTGGTAACATATTGAAAAAAAGTTATAGGGGCTATATAATCGACAAATAAGATGACATTTGCCAGTCACCACCATTGACATCTATCTTTAGAAAGAATTGAAAAGGTCTATTGCAACTGGAAATGGCTCAGGCTTAGAACTTTTTGATCATCCCACGTATCGTTCCAAACTAGCGAATCAGTTTAAGTATTTTTTATTCAGCAGACTATTGGGAGGAATTTCACACGAAGTCCCATGAATACTATGGCACTCGCCTTCTAAAGGATACAGTGTGCTGGTCATCTGTCACTTCTTTCTTAATTAAGTGAAGACCTTCAAGCAGCGGTCGCAAGGCTCATTTCGTACTCTGCAAGGGGGCAACTGGGTCGGACGAAGGCGTAGAGCTATTGGGTGGGGTGGAGGATTGCTCCCGAAATGACGCCCCTGGCTTGAATGTGGCTGCAAGAAATTGATCGTCTTTCGAGAATGCAGGCAGGAGGTATCGGCCATTAAAATTTTTGCTTTTTTAAAAAAAATATCAACATTTCACCAGCTCTGTAAGTACCTGAAAAATACCAATGCACTTATTATTTTATATTATTTACAAAACATGAGTTCTCATAGTCTTCTATTTCCAATTTAAAAAAGTCCCATCAAAATCGGATAGAAAGATAATGTTAAAAAACTCTTAACTATTCAATTTCAGGTGTTTTTTTCTCTTAAAATTTGGATCCGCTCCCAATAAAAAAAGGCATTACTACTAACCATGGGAATCTGACGTTTTGATTTGGATTTTTTTCGGCAATGCCATTGAGGGAAAAAATTCGCAAAACTCAGATGGTTGTATCTCATTTTTCGTAATTTTGGTTGAACTGGGTAGGAATGGAATATTTCACCTATCTTTTTCATTCTGGAGATATTTTGACTCGATTTGATTTCGAGAATTTGGATCCGCATGTCGGTTGAGAATTTTTGCTCAGAATGTTGAAAGAATGCATACCCCTAAACTACATGATTTCGTCTGTTCTCGCTCCCATAGACTCCAACTAGTCAAAATTGTGATCACCCATTTTAGAAGGAAATGAGAGACGCAGCCAGGGGAGGAGGTTTCCAGGACACTTTGACATAACCAGGATAAAAAGATTTCATACGAAAATATAATGTGGACAATGCTGATTGAGCCAGAATACTAGTCCTTGCGATCGCCTGGTTTTCCAAGTCGATCATCTGCTAGGCATTACATTAACTTACTACTCAAAGACGAGAAGGATTAAAAAAGCACTTTAAGTCGACAGAGGCTAGAGAAACTGCGTAGAGGGGTGTCGTTGGGTACAAGAATTGCCGGCTACGTCCCTGAATAGAGTAATCACATATTAATAACTGATTAATGACGTTCATTAAGAATGACGTCACGATGCACTTGCGACCTTGAACGAGGACGAACACTGAGTGAAAAGAGGGGAGACGTGCGAGTTCATCCCACGTAGTCACTCTTACATCCGTTGTCCCCTGGCTTGCATGGGGGCATTGTAATGCGTCGCATTCTAAAACGAATATAAAAGTTTCGGGAAATAGAAATGAAAGTGCTCGAAAAGAATTTAAATCCGCATCATCAGCAAATTTCGCAACGCAGGGCAGGAAAGCCTTGAACCGTCTGCAATCGCCATGAATTCCTCGCGATATTTCCCTCCTTTCCTTCTCCTCTTTCTCCAGCAGCGTCCATCCAATCGAGAACCTCGACCGACCCAGGAAAAAAATCTGAGAGGTATTATTCGTAATGCTATCTCATTGTCCCGGTCATTGGAGACTATCGAATGAAATATTCAAAGGAGGACAACGATGAGGAATGGAATAATGCCAACCGAAGCCTACTTTTTATCCGAGTGAAATCCCTATAGATGTTCCATTAGCAATCTCTGGTGAATGAAGAGGCTGAAAGCTGAAACGAGGACATTTTTGCAGCGACATCTATAGGCAATTGGCGTTGCGAGCACCATTTGGGTCGTGAGTGTCTCTGTGGCTGTCTGCTTGGCCCGGGGGTTTCTCTCACACCATTATCGCTGATATTCGGCATGGGAACTGGTCTCCGTAGCAGGGCCTAAATCTCCGCCTTTGAGTCACATTTCACGTCATCTTCAGTAGAAATGAGGTCGTACGAGGTGAAACCATAGAAGGGCTGCTGGGTTCGGACGCGGAAGATAATTGTGCGGCTCGAAAAGGTGGCGTGTCTCCCCACGACGCATAAACCAGGGAAGAAATTCATTGCATGTTCTGACTATCGGCTTTTTCTCTGTGAAAGCGCAAGGGTAATTCAACATGAACATGCTTAGGAGGCACAGGAGGAAAGAATGTTACGTCAGAGAGCTGAAATGAGGCCAGGCCCACATTTTTCCGAGGATAAGTGAATCGCTTCGTGAAGAATCGTAATCCTTCATAATAAAAAAATATGAGAAACGGCACTTATAAATCTTTCCCGGAAGACGCATGATTCATGGATGATTAAAAAGTGGCGTTGGGTATTCCGTGTCACTTGAAGGAGAGGGAATGAATAAACGTTTTTTCGTGCACGAGGACAAAGGAGAGGAACAGGGAATGAGCTTGCAGAAAATTGAGCAGTGATGCCACCACGGCTCAAATAAATCTATAAACCTAGAGAAGAAATGAAAACTAATATAAACTGCTTTCTTTTTGGTTCTTAACTTTTTCGAAGCTGTTGCAGTAGTGATTTGAAATGTTGATAAGAACTGCAGCGTTCGAGATTAAAAAAAAAAGCAAGAGAGGCTGAATTGAATTGCATGAACGGAAGCCCCCCAGGGCTCTATCCGCTGGTCAGTGAGTATAAAAAGAGAAGCAAGAGAGTCTCTTTCCTTCAGTCACTCGTGCGCCAGAGCTGTGTTCACACCACCGAGAGAGGAAGAGGAGAGAGGAAAGTGTCTAGGATATCAAATGATGGCAGCTTCCAGTTCGTTTTTAGTCTTCCTCTTCGTCTTCTCTCCTTTCACCTTCATCAGGGCCCAATCGTGAGTGTCTATCTCCTGACTCCATCCGATAAGAAGGGGAAAGATATTGCCATTGCCATTGCCAGTGTCTCCAGTCGGGGATTAAGGGAAAGTGGTGGGACTCAGAATGGCCTACTTTTGTTACATTCCGGATAACGGTCAGCTCATTGTCTCCTCCCCATCTAGATAGATACACTTTCATGCCATTGTATTGTATTATACTGTATATTGTTTACATTGCGGGCACTTCCGTGCTTTCATCTGATTGCTCCTATTTCATCTGATCCAGTAAAAATTTTCTCACAAACTTCAATTTAAATGCCACCGTAATTTTTTCATGCGCCTGATTGGGCTACGTTTGTCAGTTACGAAGAAAGGTATTCTCTTCCCAAGAACTATTACCCCAATACGAGAGTTGATCTCTCGCCGTTTGCAAAAGTACTACGACTTAAAAAAAAAAATAAGATGAAGAAATGGTTCTCCACTCCGATTACGAGACGAATGTGAGATGGGTCGATATCTAGTGGGAAACATGGAGAATGAAATCGCATTATTTGGATAGGGGTCACGTTCCGATTGTGGAGAACACTTGGGAATCATGATCTATTTTCCTTTTTCCTTGTTCTACCTAGGGGTGAATACAAGTGTTCGATATATTTGATCGGACCTCGGCCGGGGAGTCCAGGACGATATTTGAGCACGGTTCAAACGGGAAAAGCCAACTGCGGCTCGGACAACAAACTCACCCCTGCCGAACGTGACTACTTCGTCAAGGCCTGCAACAATTCCGTACGCTTTCGTTCACCTCATACACACGCCCATGAACTCGATTAAATGAACCCAATAAGCCATTTGGGATATTTTTCGCAGGTTTACAAGGGTCTGACGCACAGCTTCAGCTTGGAAAGCACCGTGCCTAGCAGTTTCAAGGACAACCCAGACGAACCGGATCGCACCTTCGGGGATTACCTCTGCACCAAAGTCATCCAACCCAACGGCTGCGGCTTCCAGGTATCCTTCCAACTTCTGTATTTTTTGAAATTACATTCAGAAAAAAAAACTTACAAAAAATACCAACATTTTTCGCTTTTCTTCGTCGATGTGGTAAGACACGAGAAACAACGATTCAGATGAAAAATTTTCAGAAAGCAAAAACAGCTGAAGGATTCATTTTCCGGACATTGATGACAGAAGTGGTTACTCCAAACTGAAGGCGATGAAAAGCGAAAATTGAATTGGGATGAGAAATTGAAGAATTTTTCTTTGTGACTTCGTGTTTTTAGTACGCGATCTACATGAGCGAATGTGGGGGAGAAGCATACGACACGGGATTCCGAGGGCCCGAGCCTATCTGTTGCAAGGCAAATCCGTTCACACAGGAGAACAAATACATTTCTTGTTCCCAATGGACGCCTAGGGAAGACCGACCCATCCCTCCTCTCTGCAAGCCTTTCGTCCGACCATAAGGAGTGGAGCATCAAAGTACCAGCAAAAAAAAATCCATGTACATGTTGTACAACCCGATCCGCTTTCAACTTTTCCCGGTCCTGAAGAATAAAGATATTTTCCGAGTCCCGGCCAGTCTCTGATTTATAACGAAAGAAGAGATGAAATTCAATCTGATACATCTTTGGACATTGGTGTGGACTGGGAACTTGAACTGCAGATAAAAGTAACATGCTGATTGCATCAACAGGTTTTTCCGACGACACCAAAATAGACTTTCCGAAGATGACAGGGGGGAGTCGAGAGGGGCTTAATGCTTTCGAATGAGCTGAGCGGCACATTAATTATAAAAACGAAGGGTCTCTGAATGCATTTGGCGAGAACAGACTTGGGGAGGCAATTGTGGCGAGGGTCTTAAGGGTTATCGTCGACGAGAGACCGAAACTCATTGAGCACGCACAGGCGACGAAGGCGAGTTGCAACAGGATTTTAGAATTCATCAGTGTTTGGATTGCCTGAAAGAGCTCGCGCATTATTCTCCCGTTGCGCACGACGTCGGTAAGGCTTTGGTTACGGTATCTTGGTCGGTATTTGAGGCCCACACATAAAAGTGACGTAAAAACCCTGGAGGCGGGTCAGAGGTGAGCTACTAAAATGTTTAAGGAGGTGCGAGAACTTTCACTCGAACTGCGTTCAGACACGTTGGAACTATCTTCACTGGAGATGAACAAGGAGGGGGGGGGGGAAGTAATTCGAGCATTAAAAATTATCGAGGCCATCGATAAGGTGGAGTGCAGTAAGTTGTACAGTAAATACGTTTCGGTAGTAACATCTGAACAGGGAAAACCAGTTCGAGTTGCGTAAACCTTATGTGAGACTCAAGTTGCGGAATAACTTTACTACTCAGGTAATGAATGCGTGAAACACATGAAAACGCTCACCTGATTCTTTCCTCCCTACAGAGCTAAGAGGGAGGAGAATCGGGTCGGGGTGCCTGCCTCCCCACGAATAGCTTTAACTCCTTCGCTTTCCCGTGTCCAATCAGGCACGCGGACTGAAACCAGTTTTTAATTATTTTACTCATATTTCACTCTTTTAATTCACTCATGTTCTGGAACAAGGAATACATCCAGACATCGTCCACTCGATAGCAACCATGACCACCCATTACTTGTTTAACTGCAGCAAACACTTTCATGACAAATATTGATATTAGAGGCTCATTTGCATATTGGATGGGTTTATTATTGTTTTTATGCACAAAACATCTAGAAACAATGGCGGAAAACTATTCGCACCTGAAAGGAATAAGAAGTTACAAGATGATATATGCCTTCGTGGACAAACCCAAGAAGGAAAGGAGATCCCCCCACCAAAAGATATATTTATTGGGCTGGCATATGTTGGAATTTGGGGGGGGGGGATGATTAGAACGAGCACTTTACCTCCACTCGCCATGCCTTTTCGTCTCCTGGTTCTAACCTTCAGCCTTGAATCATACACAATGCTTTCTCAATCGCAAACAGGAGTGGCGGAACTCGCATCACATATCCGCATGAGATGATTATCGCAAAATCTAAGCATGTATGTACATAAATCATCTATCTTGCGTAATTTGCAAAGTTCGAACTTCTCGGCAGATATGTCTTAGTTCGAGACGGTATACATTGGATTTCAAGTTCCGAGCCGTATAAGCGCAGTGATTTTTTAATCCCCTTCCCCACTCGGCAGGCAACGCTATCGAATGCAGTTTGCAGTAGTCTCATTCCTAACGTCGAGCTACGGGAATCGAATGTGTACTGTCTCGAACTTGGGCACATCTGCCGAGAAGCTCGAACTTAAACAAATTACGATACGTCTCATCACCCCTTGGATCCTGATACTTTCGTTATTCCTTCCAAAGTTTAAACTGGTGCCCAGAGGAGAATTAAAGCCAGACTTGGAACATTCGTGTTTCCCTGAGTCAAAATCCCAACCTACAGCAGTTCGGGAAAAATTATTAAATGTATTTTCCAATCATTGGTCATGAAGATATATGTGTCCCTTTGTGGATCTGAATTCTCACTCGGAAATATTCTTCTCTGAGTGAGGAACATCGTGTCACCGAGATTCTGTTTACATTCGGCGGAAGCCGTGCCGAATATTCATTCAGTCATGTGCAAGAACCGAATCGGGGTGCTCATGTCGCATGCCAGCGGGCAAGGATTAGGTCAATCAGCAATGAGACAACTTTAAGAACGACCCAGTTGCTATATGATCAGCAATCACCTTCGTTCACCAGAATGAATAAATTCTCTTGCATAACTGGATTAGAAATCGCATCACTAGATGGCTTGATGAAGAACTGCAGAAAGTGAAAGGAGAAAATGACTGAGACAACAAAGGCAGAGCACTCGTAGGTCATCTTTAAAAATGCCAAAATACTATAATTACCATGCATAATCACCGTGGAAATTGGATAATAAGCATTTTTGAGACACGAATCGGTGCGATGAGAGAGAACTTCGTTGGATTTTGGTAATACGAAGAGCCTGTAACGCGGATGGTTGAATGGGTGTCCGGGTCCAGCGGGGCGCAGTCCACGGCTTCGTTCCAGAGGACAGTTGGCATTAACCTCCCTTCATCACTGATGGGGCGGGGAAAAATCCTATCCCTTTTCCATTCAACTTCCTTCACGGTCGCAAGGAAAATTGGCAACATGACTACAGGAAGTCCACTTTCGGTAATATTCGCTTCAAACAGATGCCTTGAAATAGCGGGTGCATTATGGAATTTTCCAGCACCGTGAAGGGAGTCGAATCGAGGAGACGAAGTAGAAAATAAAGCTAGCAGGGGAGGACTTGGCTTTCAAGCGCATAAAAAGAACCTTGTGATCTGGTCTGGCTTTTTCCTTCGTGTCAAAATCCGTAGACTGGGATTCCAGAATTTCTCAAACTGAATTAGAGAGGTCAATATTAGGGATTCGAGGATCTTCCCTACGACTGTGAGAAAGCAATTTGAAGTTCTTGGTCAATATTACGGAAACGTCCTCATACGGTGACTGACGACCACAAAACATTTAGTGGAAGCTTCTGGCACCTTCAGGGATGTTGTAAATGTAACGTTTTCTCTTGTTGTCGGTAGATGTCGCGTTCGATTAACTCATTCCGCTTTTTCCTTTCCACGCTAGGGGGACATCTCTACTGACTTGGGTAAGGAAATTTTTTTTTTCTTTCTTTCTTTGCAAATGAGATGGCCGGAAATTATGCTGGATATTTTAATTCAGTTATTTATTTACCTAAAAGAACTAATAGAAAAAGGCGTCGGTCACAAACTTGGTCATCGGGTTTTCTCCAGAGATGGAATCTTCGGCATTTTTCGCCCTATGTCGAAGAAGGATTCCTGACGAATATCAAGCGATTATATTTAATTTATAACTGAATGGAATCTTTCGAATTTCAAATCAAAATATCTTTTTTTTTTAGAACTCTTCTACAGTAACCAGAAAGTAAAGTAACCATAACCAAGTAACCATGTTCTTGAATTCTGTACTTCTGGAAGAACAGTAGGCTGAGGAGGTACACTGCTGAGAAGAGGATGAGACGCGTGCAGTACTCCAATAGTTCAGTTGCAGTATTGGCTTTGCGACGTTCAATACAAGTTTTTTTTTTCCTGCATCCAATAAGAAGAAAAATAATGAATCAAAAGATATGAATCCTTGAGCCATCAGAATCTCGCGTCGAATTTGTATCCTTCACATCTGGGTCTAAGGAATCCTTATTCTTTGTAGTGAACCTCCTTTGTTTTCCCTTTAGGGTGTAAAATAATTAATAAGTGTTGAGTGGAGTTTGACGATCAGTAAAACTTAGAAGAGACGAAATAAAAGTTCTCTAAGGTGAAGATGCTTTTGCCCGTCCTCAGTCTATAAAGCTTGTTTTCATTGTTTCCTCCTTTGAAACGAATGTTATTAATCCTCTATTAAAATGAGAGAAGCTTTTTATTATTAATTTTAATACTCTATATATGATATGAGAGCCACACGGAGATGGTTATCATTCTGGGGCTCATGCACCTGCACCATCCCGCCAGGGCTGGCTAGTGGCTAAAGCCGCTTCATTCCCATTCAAAATGAATAATCCGTTTAATGCATGTGTTTCTGAAGCATAAGGTGACGACCACAGGGATACTTACAGTTCTGTGAGTTTCCGGTGCTTTGCAAGTTCTGTTTATCGTTTCACCCAAGCCTTTTCACATCATACTAGAGAGGAGCTCTTTCCCTGCGACAAAAGGCTTTTGCTAATATGCAGGACTGAGACTTATAGGAACTGTGCCTTTAGGACTCTAAATTTTTTTTCTCCGGGACCTTAAGGCTTTCTCGTCACACTCAAGATTGAAACCTCAACTGAATGGTTGGTAACCATTTCGATATCTCAATTTCAATCTCCCCCATAATACTTATCCCTTCAAATTTTCCCCCCTCAAATTAGCTCATATATCAACATCTCTCTAGAGGTGGAGTGTCAAACTCAAGTCGGTCGGCGGGCTGCATTCTGTACCTTGCAGATGCTTGTGGGCCGCATCCATAATTTTTCACCGATATTTGTGCTGACAGCAAATTTCCAAACGGAAATTTCAAGAACAGACGGCGGGCCGCATGTTTGGCACCCCTGTTCTAGAGGATATCAATCCAAAATAACGCCGTGATTTACTCCGTCAATTGATATTCGTAAACCGACTGAGTGTCCAAATGTCTAAGCCGAGAATAAATATTTCCCCATTCATTGAACTATAGCACCGATACCTGACAAAGAGTGATATTTCCGTGGGCTGCAAGTGAGTAGGCCCGACCGATCTTCGCAGTGAATCTGCGTCTAGGATATCAGCTCGTGGACCCGTGACGGAGAGGAGATGAGGAAAAAGAGGGAGGCATCATAGACGGGAGATAGTGAATCCGAAATAATGGAATCTAGAACTGTGGTGTCCAATAGGATTTCGATGCTCGCCAAGCTTGTGGCGATCAGGTCACCATATTCGCCACATGATACAAAATATGCGCAATAGTAATATTTAAAAAAGAATGCGCAATCTTTTGAAAGTAGGTTTCAGGTTGTAAACCGTCATCGTTCAAGACTGATACACAGTAAAATACA